CACACACCCATGTGACTGACTCCCCTGAAAGCTTCCTGTGGTGCCTGAAAACCATAATCACTGTAATATTCCCTCAGCAAAATGAATCTGCAGGATATTGTTACAGTATCTGATGATAACATACGTTTTAGTTCTAAATCAAAGTGCATTGACTTGCAGATTCGTATAAAAATTATCTCCTTAAACATTACTGAATAATAGGAAGTAACACAAAAAAGAGTCTTAGAATAGACTTCATATATGAGCGTTTAAAAGGTCAGACGATGTATTGGCTCATGCGCATTTTTTAAGTTATCTTGAATAAGTAAGAGACGATGCTTTAGATTGCAAAATGTTTAAGGCAGCCTATTGTGTACAATCTTTGTAATTGTTACACCGTTTCTAAATTAGTTCTTTCTTATTGTGCTAGATGTGACATACGCCAATACTTTATATCTGCGATAAGCTAATATCAGCTGATATCAGCTAGCCAATTCACTGGTTTTTATCATCTCTGTTGACACATTCAGTAGGTTATTTAACAAAGTTCTTCTTTTATTTATTTTTGTCCAACCATATTATTTTATTTGACCTTAATGTAAACAGTGAAAAGCCTTGATAAGGGTAGTATATAAACCAGTGCAAAATGGAGCACATTTCAGATTGGAGAGCTCTAGTGAAAAATAGGTCTCTTTTTTCATCTACAGCATTTGGCAGTATGTAGTGATATGGCTTTGTTCTGCAACATTCAGATACAGTGCATACACGATGGGAGCAGCAGCACCCTGACAATAGACATACCACTGATTGATGCAGGTATTGTAGATTCCACACTGACAAGTATATGAAGGCCTTCCTCGGCTCGAGTGGCAAGAAGTCATGTAAAAGAGGATGCTTTTGGGTCTATGCTTACTGGTTCCATATGAATTAAGAGGGTAAATAGCAGCCAGATGCTGCTAATAAAATATGCTTCATTTTAGGTGTTTAGCACAATGCTGCAATTTTCCCAGTGCTCAGAGAAACTTGAAGAAACACAAGGGCTACATCCTAGACTCTGCAGGCGTCAGTTAGCATGTTAAATCCTAAAGTACAAGGCCTGCATAGAGCCCTGTGAAAACTATATTTTTCACATGAGTGTTCATTAACGTGCCTGCCTTTGGGACCATTTGGGCTTTCATGTAAGAGACTGCCTTATTGATTACCCATGAGGCTAATTTCTATAAAAGTATAACCCTTCTCTGTGGTGGTTTGCAGATCTCCAGATAGATAATGAAGTATGATCCCTACCTAACTTTCTGGTTGTGGCTTCCATGAACTATGACATCACCTTTACTCATTTATAGTGGCATTTGACGTGTGAT